TACATGAATGCTAATAAATATATATATACATATATACACTGTTCTTTGTGAAAAAAGGAGGTTTATTGGTTATCCAGTTATATATGAAAGCAGACTCAATTGAATAACGCTAATAACGCAGTCAATAAAAAGCTTATATAGGAAAGATAAACAGATAAAAGAGAAAAATTATGTACAGTGTATTATGTAGTTGGCAATACGCCAAACATTTGTTTATGGTCTAGAGTTCATAACAGTTAATTGTCGTCGCATTTGAACAATTGATTAGCTCATTGTATTAGTTGTCTATGTAAACAGTATTAATGGAATTCACGATTTAACAGGTATTTGCTTAATCATTTTATTTGAACAGGTTTTTTATTTAAAAATAATTTTAATAAGTAAATCTTTGACGGAATTGTGAAAATCAATGATTGGCTCAGTTCAAGTTGGATATCTGTCTGCATCGTCACTTCAGATAACTTATCTATAGATAAATGTTTTCTCTCTCCCCCTTTTTCAGCAGCTGCAAATCATAATTATATTATTATAACAGTATAGATCATAAAATGAAATAATATCGTTATCATTTGCAGCCTACAAAAGCTTTGATCCTCTGCTGGCTGATATACAGAATCGGGTGGTGCCCAAGCTGGATCAGATTCGAATTGTTTTGTTCATCATCCTATTATTAGTGTTCATCAATTATATGGTTAAGTTCCTGCGCTGGCTGGGCGTCAAGCGCTGCTTGCAGCGCTGCATGGCCCGGCTGCAGTCGAAGGCACAGCCGAGCAATGGAAAGGAGCTCAATGGCATGACCATACAGAATCCGAATGCTTTCAACCGTGACATTGAGCGGGCACCTTCGCAAATCTACAGCGTAGCAGGTAAAATGCAGATTTGACTACCTGCCTTGGCTATTTTATTGATTGACAATTGTTGTTTTTACAACTAGGCGCTGCCGAGGGCTCTGTGTTGACAATGGCAACGCCGGTGAGCACTCGCTACCCGGCCGAGAATAGCACAACACCAACAACTGTGGTCACCGAAATCGGCTATGGGCAGGGATACGATAATCAAGCGATGGTCACGACGCCTGTAACAGAGAAGGCTGTAACGGCTACAACGTCCACAACGGCGGGCTTCTAAGTGGCGCCAGCATTAGCATTGCGAGCAACAGTGTGCATCACATTGAAACTAGTGATATTTTTATATTGAATAATCGTAAGCAAAGTGTTTTCTAATGATATTGAACTGCGCTGAATGAAAATACATAGTAATACATACATCTATACATATACATATCCATATACATATGTACAATCATATTAAATAAATATTTCCGGTAAGTCGATTAGTCATTTAACATTTTTAAAAGCTCAATAGATTGTGGTGGCTAGTCGATTTGCATTATAACGCAAGCGTAAGCAGTGCTGCCATTTTAGCCATTAAGTTGTTAGATCTAGCAATTTTGAATTTGAGTTTGCAATTTTTTTTTTAATTGCTTTTAGCCACAAATATAGCTATTTAAAAAAAAAATTATGCAACTTTTAGCAATTTTGTGATTTTTGTGATCTCACAATAACATCATCTTAAAAAGAACTCAACTTGTTCAAAATCATAACAATGTCGATAAATGCACAAACTTGTGAACAATAGTTCAATAGTTGTGAACAATAAGTAGTTCACAAATTCATCGAAAGTGATCGAGTGTCATTTGTGCGCTGAGCTTTAAATTGTATGCTGTTTTGTTAGATTCATTAAAATTTTAACAAAATTTGGCAATTTCTTTTAGCAATTTTAATAAATTTTTTAGCAATTTTAGCAACTTTTTTTTGAAATTCTAGCAATTCTTGCCTTCAAAATTCTGGCAGCACTGAGCGTAAGTAGCTGGCGACATCAATACAGTCCGATAACTTGTGGTGGCAGGTTGATTACGCTTCAGTGCTGCAAAACATGTTTATGTAAAAAGTAACTGAAGTTGGCATTTAAAACAATTATTTCAAAATTGGCTTAATAGTATTGTCATTTATTTTAAAATTTCGCAAGTAAAATACTAATATTGAAAATTGGTAAACTCTTATAGCTAACGAGTATAACTCTTATATGAATAGATATTCATTTCTATTTCATGGCAAAATTTGTATGGGCTGTTTAGTTTTCTTGACTTTTCGATATGTAACTAGCAATTTGATATAAATGCTTGATTAAAACTAAGAAAGTCAGTTGGCTTACTAACTAAAATGTGCGAATCTCATAAATCAGCCTTAAACGTACCTAAATATACTCGTAAATACATGGCTAAATAAATAGACTAAGACTACTTTGCCGAAACTCCACTTGCATTTTAGTTTTGTTTGCTTAGACCCAATACTGATTTCGGCGCAGCAGCGGATTTGTGGGCGGCGCTGAGGGCGGTGAGCTGACAGAACCTGAAATCGATATACTCTGCGGCACGGATGCATAGCCAGCAAAGTCGTTGGCCATGTCGCACGACGAACTCCATGTATCGTGGTCAATATGGTAGGGATTGTAGCGTTGCGGCAACATCATTTGCTGCGGATCGCACTGATCGTCGGTCTCGTCCTCGTCCGGATCGTAGTCGGGAAACTCGTGCTTGTAGGACTCCACCGGTATTATCTTACAGTGGGGTATGTTACTGAAGCCCGGCAGGGGCGTTGAATTACCTGTTGCCGGCACCGAATCGGCCTCGGAGCTGGCATAATGATGATGATGATGGTGATGATGATGCTGGGGACTGACCGACGTCAAGTCCGGTGGGCAGGGCAGAGGCGGTGGCGGATCCTTGGATATGTCAGCCTTTCGCTTTCGCATATTGCGCATCTTTAGCAAGAGCAGCACAAGCAGCAGGCAAATGAGAAGGACGAAGAGGGCACAGCCCACGGCTAGATAGTTAATTGATATGTCTGCATTGCCCAGATGCACTGTCTCCGTCTCTTGCAGCTGCGCACGATACTCAATGGCCACCGTCGCCTGAGCAGGCTGCACCGTCTTGATGAGCAGTTGGTAGTCGAAGCTATCGCTATCCGCCTCCGTCTCGTCGACCGAGGCGTGTGGCACAAAGTAGACGACGCCGCTGCGCAGCTCCTTGTACGAGAAGATGTTGGTGGAACGTTCATTCTGCCCATCGGCTGCTCCATTGATCCCCGCCTGCGTCAGGCTGGTGCTGCGTATGATCTTCCTCAGCTGGCCCGTTGCGGGCATGCGGGTGATAACGAACTTGGGATTGAATTTGTTGAGCTTCAGCGAGAGCGGATTGTCATTTACCAAATAGCAGCTCAACCTGATCTTTCCACCCGCTGCACTTGAGCTGGACACCGCCTCGCGCATGGCAATGTCATTGATCTTGATCACCGGCTCCACATTGACCACCACATCCACTTGGGCGGCATAGTTGGTGCCGGGCACGTAGGCGCTCACCTGGAACGTGTCATTGGAGCGATTCAGATCAGTTTGCATATAGCTAATCTGTGACAGTTCCAGTTGCTGCTGGTTGAATCTCAGCGTCGGCTGATGCTTATACAGAATGATGCCATAGAGCGGCGAATTGGTTATGTTGTAGGCCAGTCGGTCCAGCTTCACATTCGTGTTCAGCCCAATATGCTCCAGCTTCATCGCTGCACTGGTGGCGCCCTGCTGCAGGCTCACCGGCAGCTGCGTGCTCGCCGGCAGGAGGCTGATGGGCGCCACCTTGATGGTGAAGATCTCGTAGGCTGGATTGAACTGACCATCGGTGACGGTGAAGCAAAAAGTCGTGGACTGCGGCATGCCGAAGTGCACATAGATGATGCGATCGTTGTTGATGTCCGCCTGCGTGAATTGATTGGAAAAGGCCAGCAGCTCCTCAGCCTGGCCATCGTTGTTCAGCTTCTTGAGCACACCCAAAGTGGGGCCGCTCATCACGTCGTAGATAATCTCCTCGGGCGGCGTATCCTTGTCCTCGGTGAGTAGCACGTTGCGTGTTATCGTACGATTCTCGCCCTCAACGACCTCCATTTGGGGCAGGTGCGTGGCCAGCTGGAAGGGCTGATCGTTGATCGGATTTATGGAGACGGGTATGGTCAAGTTGCACAGAAAGATGTTGCTGCAATGGAAATTGGATAATGTTTATAATTCTGCTTCCTTATTGTGTAATCCAATCAACTTACCCCTGTGTCAGGTACACGCTCATTAGTATGGTATCCTCCAGGGTGTCCGTGTGATCGTGTATATAGTAAACTTTCTTGGTAAAGAAATCGCTTGGATGATATCGTTGCATGGGCTTGAAATCATGGCCTAGTCCAATGCTACCATGTGATGGCTTCTGGGCCGCTTCTATAAACAGTTCCGGATTGTTGATGCCCGCCCGTGTCTTCAGGTACTCCAAGATCTTGGAGAAATCCAATTTGATGGGCACCGAACCACCCTCATTCACCGTTAGCTTTGACACGGGCAAAAAACGCAGCAAACCCCCTGATGATACGGAGATCTCTATGTTGAATTTCTGATCCAATAAGCGATCGCTGCGCTCGGCCACGACGTCAAAGTAGAACGAATCATTGATGCGGAACTCCATAATGACTGCGGTGTGCTCGTAGAAAATGTGGCCATTGTCCACGTCATTCTGCGTGAATTCGCTTATCTCCTTGGCATAGCCATTGCCCAGATACTCGTTGACAATCCGCCCCAGACTGGGCGGAACAGTCACATTATAGCGTATCTCGCGCTCCTCATCCGAGCACTTGAAGTACAGATGATCGCGCAAGATTTGCTTCTTGGTGAGTGGAAAAACGTGCAGATTCTCATTGCGCTCGACCAGAATCTCAATGGGTTTAATCTCGATGTTCAGCAGTTGAGTGCTGGTATTAAAGAGGCCATCTGTGACCAGGAAGGAGAGCTCGTTCTTGCGGGAGTTGGCGTCGTGTATGAAATAGATCTTTTCCGCATTGATCTGCGCCTGCGTGAACTGTTCGATCTTGTGCTGTGTGGAGGACTTCTCAGCCAGGTAACCGCCGTATATGTGATGCACAATGTAGGTGAGATTCTCCGGCGGTGTATCGTAGTCCTGGGCCACTATAGAAAGGGATTTGAATATTATGAAATATATGTATATATTTTCTGGTTGAGTATCGTCAGTTGCATGCACTTACATAGATCTGTATTCTTGATAACATAACGTCCTCCGTTCCACACCTGCAGCCCCGTATTGGTGACCATCATCGGCTCCTCATCGTTGACCGGCACCACAGCGAACTCCAGCTCGAAGGGCACGCTCTCCTTGTTCCGGGCCACGGCTACCATGGTGAGGCAATCGGTGCTATTCTCACTGCCATTGTGCACATACTGAATGCCGCCCTGCTCCAGTTGCTTTTGCGTGAAGCGCTTGACCTTTGAGCTGCCCGCCAGTATATGACCCGAACTGGGCGTTATGGTCACTATATACTCCAAGATCTTGCCACGGTAATATTCCGAGTAGGGCTGTATATCCGTCGCACTGATCTGCACCGTCTTGCCCTCCACCACGGATATGGTGTTGGTGTGCATGTACAGCTTCTCCGGTATGATGACTATCTTGAGCATCAGCTGACGCAGCCAGGTAATCCCGTTGGTCACATCAAAGATGAAATAATCGGAGGATTGATTAACGCCCGCCTGTATGTAGAACATCTTTTCCGTGTTCACTGACGACTGATCAAAGACCTTGCAGTTGTACTCGTCGTCAAAGGACATCGACTGCATCTCCAAGTAGCCATGCATCGGGGACGAAGTTACCAGAAAAGTAATATCGCCTGGCGAAATGTTTGGATGGACGACCTGGGAAGAAATACCTGTGATTAGTATTAGGGCTGGAATATAGAAGAGGTCATTTACCTCGAGAACATCACGTGAGATCAGCACGCTCGTTGACTCCTCCACGTAGAGCGTGTGATTCTGCTTCACCTGCAAAGGCTCCCAATAGGCCGAGGGATAGATGCGAAAGAGGACCTCACCCTCAGCCGTTATGTTCTTGATGTGAACGCGATATCTGATCAAAGATGAGACACAAATATGTAGGTTTTTATATCAACAACATTCTTGCCCTTACCCCACCTCACTTTATCCATGGATGCGATCTCCGTATTCCAGTAGACCAAACGCTCGCGCTCAATATCCAAATGCGTAAAGTTTCCCAGGGATGTGAAATTCGTGGCCTTATGCACAGTCGTGCCATTCTCCCCTCGCTGCCCGCTCAGGTACATCAGGATGCCGTAAGAGGGCGGCTTGATGACCTCATAGTAGATCTCGTCCAGCT